ATGGTAACATGTTCAACCTGTGCGTCTTCAGATGCGGCCTAGACCTCCTGGACTCTGCTGCCCCCGCTGTCTCGGAGGAGAACCGGTGAGTCCCTCCCACTTTATGACGAGTCAGGAGTTAAAACATTGTTTTGGTTTTTAGCAGGTTAAACTTCTTCGCTCAGGTGTCATCACAACAACGGTCTCCAGTGCTCGAGTCTGAGTCAAGTCTGAGTCTCGAAAGAAAAATACGGGTCTAGTCCCAACTGTCCTCAAGGTCGAGTATTTGCAGAGTTCAAACATGGACTGATTTCACACCTGACATGCGTCCTTATCCACAAACACCTCTCTCTCTCTGCTCTCTCGTTTCCATCTCATCCACCTCTCAGCTCCGACTGGGGGGTTTAAGATCTCATCCCAAAATTTGTAGATGTTCAATAAAACTACAAGGAGTGATGAGGTCACATGAAACACAAACTTTGTCCTGCTGAAATAAATATTTGAAACGATACAGACGTGAGTCGTCTTAGTGAACTAAAGTTTGAGAGGTTATGAGACGCGTGATTTAATCCCCTTTACGTCTGAATTCCAGGGTCACATCAACCACATCATGGGCCTCTGAGGAGGAGATCAGGAAGAGGAGGAGCTAATGAGGAGGAAGAGGAGGAGGGGCTAATTGATGAGGAGCCCTCGACCCCTTCCTGGACCTCTCCTAAAAAAAAGTGTGGAATCCGTCCAGACTGACAGCAGCGTCCCATGAGCACATTTCTGCTTCAGGTGTTCACTCCTGCTCGATGACATCATCATGACCTCACAAACACTGAAAGGACCAATCAGGTGCTTTGTTGTCAGATCTGTGGTCACTTTAACAGAGCATGATCATATTTGTTCATTACTGCTGAAGCTTCGTCCCCGAGAGTTCGATGACGTCCAAAGATTTTCATCTGGAGGTCCAAACCGTTCTTCTTCTTCTTCTTCAGCACTTTCACACATTTAATTGTTATCATGTGATCGAAACGATGACTTTGCGTAACTTTAATTTCCTGTAGCATGTCTGTCTCGATGGTGTGTTTAAGGACACTCCGACATCAGAGTTTCACACTTAGAGCACACTCCCTCTCTTAGATCTCTTGGCTGAAGTTAACCTCCCATGAAGCTGATTTTAACGAAGTCTCAAAAGAAAATATAAATAATCAAACCGACGCTGCATGATGTGTTCACTGCCGTCTGCTCTCAGTACTCAGATGTCCAGGTGAACTTGAACGCACCATCGTGTTAAGTTTGAGGAATCAGCCGGAATGTGTTCTGAAACTGTTTAAAACAGTAAGATATGAGTGTAAGCCCCGCCCCCCCACGTGACATCTGATTGGTCGACACGTTGAAAGGTGAGGACACCTGAAGCTGTTTCTGAAATGTCCAACGTTCAGTGAACTCATCAGTTTATTAGATGTGTGTACTTTCATATCAGCTGAGATGATTAATCAATAATCAGTGACTCTCTGCTGTGATTGGTCAGTCTGTTTGTATCAGCAGACATTAAAGGGCTCTCAGTTTTTTATAAACACACACACACAGCGAGCGTCTTCTGCTTCCTCTGAACTCAACTGAAGTTCAAACCTGTAAGCTCGTTAGCTTAGCTTGTAGCCACATTTATGGTCCTACAGATGTAAACTGTAGTTAGGCTCCGCCCACACTCTGATGTCACACAGGCTCTTGGGGTGTTTCCAGTAGAGTCCCATATGAAGCCGATACTTGAATCATTTTCAGACTCTTTTAAATGTTTTTTATGTCAAATGATTTCAAAATTTTTGTATTTTGAGGGAAATTATTAGATGCCCAATATTGGCAACGTTTCAATTCCAAAAGTTGCCAAACTTTTCATTGGTGGTCGTCAATACTTGATACGAGGTTTTAAACCCGCGTTGTAATTTGTCCAATTATAAAAAGAAAAAACTAATGGATTAGTTTCAATATTATGTTATTATCAGGTTTTATGACCTACTCTATATCTGTGTCGGGTACCCTGACCTAACATCCACTCTACAGTTAGGGCCTTACTTTATTTCAAAGTAAAAGCACACAGCAAGTAAAGAACTCTCAGCTTAATACAGTACAAACCTTCAAAATAAAAGCCTGACAATTTCTGTTTTGAAATGTAAAATAAGGGAATTTCAAACATGCATCTCTCTGATTTAATCATGCGATTGATTATGATAAAAACATGTTATTGCTTGACAGCCCTTGTCTCTTTTATGAAAGATGATTTCAGATCGACTTCCTGTCGGTCACAGATGAATTAAATGTTTAAGGTGGCATTAATTAAAAAGGGAAACAAAATACATTTATATTTTTATGATGCAGATTTTTATTTTTTGAAACAATTTGTTGTAATCTGACTGAATGTAAGAGCTTATATTTTTGATGACATCACTCTGCTTTTTGTGCTGACCAATAAAAACGCAGCGTTTGTATCACGGACAGATTTACAAAATTAAAGATTTGACAAAGAAAGCCTCCGAGG